TTATGCACCCTAGGGGATGCACTGATGTATTGCACCTCCTTTGTAGCCAGTTCCATGGAGACAGCAATAACAATGGCCTTCTGTAAGGTAAGCTGAGCCTCTGTCAATAGGCGCTTCCTTATAGCTTCACTGTGCAGGCCACACACTAACCTGTCACGTAGGGCATCATTTAACATCTCCTTCAATTCACAGTGTTCTGGAAGCTTTTTCAAAGTTGCTACAAATTGTACAACTGTTTCGTCATCTTTCTGGTCTCTTTTGTGGAGCCTATACCTTTCAGCAATTACCAGTGGTTTTGGAGAAAAATGGAACCCCAGAATTTCCATAATGTCACTGTAAGATTTAGTCTCTGGCTTTACGGGGTGCAGTGAAGCTGCGTAGCAGGGAGTAGGTCTTAGCCCCTACAACACTTAAGAATATTGGCACCTTCTTCTCTTCTGTAATGTCATTTGCAATAACAAAAAACTCAAAATGCTCAGTATATGCATGCCATTGCACTCTAGTCTCCTCAAAAGGTTCCAGTGGCCCTGTAAGTGTAGCCATGGTTTTAGTTTCAGTTTGCATAGACAGAGCAAACAAGCCAGTTCTCACCCCCTTCCAGCAGCAAACAAGGTTTGTTTGTTTGTTTTTGTACCTTAACTTCTACTTCCTTCTGTTGCTGGGGCAGCACAGAGATCCCATCCTCGTCACCACGTTGTTATATCTTTGGGGGCAACAGTTTTAGGAAGAAATCACTGGAAACACAGAGAGCTATAAACCTTGTAGCAGCCATTTATTTCCACACTTAGAACTAATCAACAGCCCGGCTATCCCCTAATAATCTAACTCAGTTGCCACAGCAACACAAGGTTCTATTACCATGACAACCAAATACACAACAGGTTTCATGTAGAATGTAATATTGTCAGTGCATTAAAATGATGAGAAACACAAAGTACAAGTGTATCAGAGTTACTGGCTATGGCTGTTTCTCTTACAGTAGTGATTACAGGCAGGAGAGGCGGAGCCCTCTGAAATTGGGGTGGTCAGGGCTACTGGCCCCCTCTATGGCCCCACCACTGCCTCACCTCTTCCATCCAAGGCCCCAACCCCAGCAAAGCCAGAAGCTGGAGTGGGCTGGAGCTGCAGATCCTCCACCTGCCCGGGGAGAGTCAGAGCAGGGCTGGTGGTGAAAAGTGGGAGGCAGGGCCGGCTCCAGGCACCAGCCCACCAAGCATGTGCTTGGGGCGGTGCCTGGAGGGGGGCGGCGCGGCAGGGCGCTCCGGCCTGAGAGCGGGGCCGCGACTGGGCTCGCCGCCCTCCCCGCGGTGCTCCTGCCTCCGGGGGCTCTCCGCCCTCCCCTCGGCACTCTGGCCGCCAGGGAGAGTGGAGAGCCCCGGCCGGGCTCGCCGCCCTCCCCCCAGTGCTCTGGATGCCGGTGGCTCTCCGCCCTCCTCCCGGCGCTCTGGCCGCCGGGGAGAGTGCAGAGCCCCGGCTGGGCTCTCAGCCCTCCTCCCGGCGCTCTGGCTGCCAGGGGCTTTCCGCCTTCCCCCCGGCGCTCTGGCCGCCGGGGAGAGCAGAGAGCCCCGGTCGGGCTCCCCGCCCTGCTCCCGGCACTCTGGCCGCCGGGGAGAGCGGAGAGCCCCGGCCGGGCTCCCCGCCCTGCTTCCGGCGCTCTGGCCGCCCGGAGAGCAGAGCCGTGGCAGGCTCCCCACCCTCCCCCCGGCGCTCCAGCCGGTGGGGAATTGCTTGGCGCCCTCCCCTGCCGCGCTGGCGGGGGGTGGGGGGCGGCGGGTGGCTTTTTTGCCTAGGGCGGCAAAAAAGCCAGAGCCGGCCCTGGTGGGAGGGCCATGGGAGTGAGGATCCTGGCAGCAGCTTGACTCTGGACAGGAAGACCAGGCAGCAGCCCGTCTGGGAGTAGGGAGCTGGGAGCCTGGGGGGAAGCTGGGCTCTATTTGGAGCCCTCACCCGTCCCGTAGTGACAGCCCGAGCTGTGAGCTAGAATTTCTTGGCAATTTCACAGCTCCATCATGAAACCGTGAAATTGACAAGACAGCCAACAATCGATGTAAGTAACCCCACTGTCTGCATGGATACTGCGTCACCTGAACTACACCAACATAAGCCCTACACCTCTCGTGGAGCTGTAGTACAGCACTTACATCTGCAGGAGCAAGGCTGTAGTGTGCACACTGACATAATTAGGTTGAGGTAAGCTGTCTTACATCGACCCAACTCTGTAGGGTAGACCAGGCAACAGTCCACTGCGCTATCCACTAGGCAACCCTGCCTCTCATTTAGTGCTGTTCTAGCTTATGTGCATATACTTCATTTTCTCTAGTGATGGTGGATGAGCTGCTCCATAATCCTGCAGTTTCCAGAGCAGGTACAAGGGACTGGTTCTCCCTTTCATGAACACAGACAATGCCTCTCACCACATCCTGTGCAGCAGGGACAAAGGGTTGAATGAGAAGAACCATTGGAAGGAGCTGAGCACTGCTTAACTGATGAGCAGGGAGGCTAAACTCTTCCACTACTTTCACTTACAAAGCTAACATATTTGTAACCCCTTGGGGTTTAGAGAGCACGGTCCCTTTAAAACCTGTCCTGGGGCAGAGGAAGTGCTGGGTGTTCCAGGGGGAGGAGCATAGGCACCGGCTTCTTCCAGGCCCCCGGGGGAGGGGTGCTTAACCTCGCGTTCCAGCCCAGGCTCTGCCCCCACCCCACACCTTCTCCCAAGTCCCCACCCCCTCACTTGAGCACTCTCGGCCCTTGCTCCTCCCCCCTCCCTCCCAGCTCCTACTGTCCGCTGCAATGAGCTGTTCCACGGTATGCAGGAGGTGCTGGGAGGGAGAGGGAGGAATTGATTGTCGGGGCTGCCGGCGGATGGGAGGTGCCTGGGGGAGGAGGTAGATGACTCCCAGTGGGTGCTAAGCACCCGCTAATTTTTTTCCATGGGTGCTCAAGCCCTGGGGCATCCATGGAGTCGGTGCCTATGGGGAGGAGGGTGGAGAGAGGGAGAGTGACAGGGCATGTGTGTCTGTAGCTCCCAAGAAGAGAAGCAGCTGAGAACCTGTCTGAAGCCCAGGAGGGACAGAGCAGCTGACTGGGGACACCCCCGGACAGGAGCCAGGAGGAGCATTGTGACAGGAAGGAGTCACCTGAGAAGGACAAACCAGAGCTGGACCCAGTATCCCTGTCACCCAGAGCTGTATGGGGCTGTGAGTACTGGGGCTTGTGACCTTGCATTAGGAATAAAGGGGGAGGCTGTAGCCAGGTAAGTGGGGAGGTTGTTGCTCTGCGTGGCTTTGCAGAGAGCGGCAGAAGAAGGCATCAGAGGGGTTTGTTGGGGAAAGTTCACTGGCGCCAAAGATGACCAGGAGCACCCAAGACTCACCGCTGCACTGGAACTCTGCCCAGGACCCCTGAACTCTTGAGTAGATGCAGTGCTTGGCGCCTACCCTTTTATGTTGTGATACCACTGGGGCCTTGTGTTGAATCTCAACCTGTTTTATCACACCCCCCTCCAATATTACCCCTGTTGTTTTTCTACCTTCATCCCTCTGTAAATAAATATTTCCACTTCCTGTATTTGTTGTACTCTTCTGGTGTGTGTGCGTTTACCCCAGAGGATTTTGAACAGGTGCCCCTGGTGCAGGGATGACTCGTGCCTGCTGAGAGTGGGGGGAGGCAGAGTGAGGGCAGCTGGCTTCAGCAGTATTAACAAGCATGCTGAGTACAAGCCAGGCAGGAAATCTGGGGGAGCACGTGACCCCGCATGCTCCCTGATGCATCACCTGTGCCCTGGGTTGGAAGGGAGTTACCCTGCTGCGCTCCAGTGCGTGCCTGTTCCTGGCAGGAGCCGCTCTGCAGAGCAGACTCCATCTCGGCCACAGGAGCTCTATAGTTACATATTAGTTCCCAACAAATACTCGTCAATACAGAATTACAGTTGCCCAGCAGAGCCTTGTGCCTTTCCAAAGTGCAGAGAGCGGCTAAACTTAAATGTCTGAAACCCAAGAGTTACAAAATAACGGCTCACAGCGCCCCCACCCTGCAACCTTAACTCTGCCTCCTGGGCTGGCAATAGGCACTGGAAATGGTTCAGTGAGGGTGTTGCCATAATAAACAGGGATGAGGAAGGGCTATGAGAAGGTGCCATTGCTTGTGCTGTGTTTCTTCGATTTGGATTCTAGCATCTCTCTGCCCTCACTCCCACTGCCTTCCCCATGTTCGGAGTCGCTGTAGTGACTGGTGGAGGGATTCATTCGAGCAGGCTGGCAGAGCTGTCACTGCGATATGAGGAAAGGAATCACATTTGCCTCATTTCAGTGCTGAGGTCTGTAGGCTGTGACAGTAGAAGTGCACAAAGGTGTCTTATTGCCATGGGGATTGTCAGCAGTCTGGTGTTTGCTGCACCTGACCTAAACCTCACATCACCATTACAGAACTAGCTACACCTGTCCCATTGCTGGACTCTCTAGTTCAGGGGTCAGGCCTTTAACCATCTCGGGGGGGGGGGGGGGGATTCCTCAACTCTCCCACTCTTATACCAGGATCTGGGCTACAGGACCCTGTTCATCAACCATTATAACCCCGTGGGTGTCAGATGCAAGCCAAGATCAATCCCAGCTGGTGGTGTCAGTGTGGGGAGGATCAGCCATTCTTTTGCCCCAGGAGATCACAAACAATGTTGTAATAACCACACATGTTAATCTCACCTGATTTTTCAGGGGTGTTTCTCATTAGCCCCTTGCTCTAATGACTCAAATTTAGCTCACTGACCCTACCCCAGACTCCAATGAGTCACAGCAATTTTAAAGACAATCTGAATATGCATGTGGATTTTAGAGACTTTCAAAAAAAAACAGCTGTTAAAGAGTAAACTAGAATCAACCTTAACCAGAGCAGAGCTACTGCTGCACTATAATGAGAAAAATCAGATGCCATCTCACAATGAACTCTCTGACTCCACTAATTACCCTGTTGAAGACATCAAAGTATCAGAACAAGTTACTGACCTGCCACCTGCAGTTCCAATAAAGCTTCTTCATAAGAGACACTGGATTTAAAAAAACACTTGTACTGCCCATCATCGGAGGGTCGGATATTGTGTATTCTCAGGGAAACTCTCCCATTGGTGATGTCGTCTTTCAAGAGCTCAGTTCTTCCTCGATATTCTGGCATCTGTTCTCCATACTGATCCTGCCCATCATGGTACAGGTGCACAACTAGTGAGTACTTGGATCGGAACCATCTCAGCTCCAGGTTCTCAGCGCTCATCCTAGGGGAGAGGTGGCAGGGCAGGACGGCCTCCCCACCTAGGGAGGCAGTGATTGGACGGTCAGGTCCAGTCACTCTGAATTGTGCTGTGAAATGTACAATAAAAAATGGAAGTTAAACTGGCGAGGGGCTGGGGTGGCATTAATTCAGCAGTCAGACACCCAGTAAGAGAGCGCCCTGTGTTAGAAGTGAACACCCCATACCCATGCAGTGCCCTAGACATGTCTATGAGTGCAGAGAGTCACAAGTTGGGGTAACTGCATCCCTGACTCCCTCTGCGGCCTGCTCAAGGAATGTTCCCTTAGGTCTCAGACCTCCAGCCATCACCTCTCTCCAGGCAGTGACCCACGTCCTTCTCCCTCCACACTGGGGTTTTACGCTTGCAGTCTCCCTGCAATTCACTGTGGTTTTCCCAGCAGGCCTGACCAAACACCAGCACCTGCACTTTGCTTTCTATCCCAGTGCTATGGACAGCGTGTGCTACCAGCTACCAAACAGCTCTTCCAAAGCAGAGAACATTGAAGGCTAAAAGCCTGACAGAGAAAAGTTACCATAAACCAACTGAAGGTCTGAACATGTTACACTTATCCAAAAGGATTCTCATCTGGCACATGGGACTCTCTCGTAGGGTCCAAAGTCTTTCAAACCTTTCTCTAAGGGTTTGCGCTCTTGGTTAACAGGTCCTGTCACTTTGCAGCCCAAGATCCCAGGCCTCAAGTGTTTGTACCAAAAGTCTTTGTTCTCTTTGGCTTCTGGGACCTGATCTGAACTAGTTTGTGCAATTCTCCCTAGGGGTGGCACTTCTCTAGAGCTGTTACCTGTCCCAGCAGTAATTATCTCCCACAGTATGTAAATCCTGGAGGAGATGGGGTAACCCTCCCCCATGGAGTAGATTACAATCCCGAGCCCACGCAGTTACACATAGCACATATAGATACTATTTATACAGGGGGTACAAAACTATACAGAACATTCATAAAGTTAATTTGATAGTCTCCTAAATGCCGCATGTGGCTGCAATATCTGTCACCCAGAGTTCACATGTGAACATTAGACAATTTCCTGATTATATCTGAATAAGGATCAACCCTTCTCTTGGGCACCTTGGGGATAATGGATACTGGGAGGACTGATTCTCTGATACACCAAGATCTTTTCATGCTGCTCCAGTGCGGGGCCCTCCCCAGCTGGTGTAGGGATGGTGTAAGGGCCTGCAAGATGTAAAGATGTGAAAACAGATAATCATCACCACTCTGCAGGTGGTGGCTTTAAAGGCAAAGTCAGAGGTCAGATAACGGAGAGAGGGGAGGAGGCAGATAGAAAAGAGCAGGGGGAAGAGAACCAGCCGTTGTGGAACTGCACAGAAAGGGGGGTCTCAGGGCAGAGATTCAGCATCAGGAGACAGAGAGAGAGCTGGTTAAATTAGCAGGATGGAAACCACAGCAGGGGGAAACCACAGAGCCCAAGAAGCTGTGGAGGCAGCCCCAGGTGTGGAGTGGGTCACTAAAAGGGCTGCATTGAGAGCACAGAATGAAGAAGCCGGCAAATACCCTCACATCCTCATTCTGAGATGAGATTTAGTGCTTAGCCCTAGTGCAGTGTGAGTAACTGGAGAGTCAGGGATTCATGATTTGTTTGTAGCTGAAGAGTCTGATCTGTGACTTATATGGTCCGGCAGTGCAGTGCATAGGAATTGGGTACTGTCCCTTTACATAATCCGTGAGCCCTTCAGGGGTGAAAGTAATTTAAAGGACTTACCGGTACGGCCAGTCCTGAGCGGAGGTGTGGCCTCAACCAGAGGAGGCGGGGCCTCAACCAGAAGAAGCGGGGCCTCTCAAGATTTAAAGGTCCTGGGGCTCCGGCTGTGGCTGGGAGCCCCAGGGCCCTTAAATCACCCCGGGGCTCCCAGCTGCAGAGGTGGCTGGGAGCCCTGGGGCTCTGGGGTGAATTAAAGGGCCCAGGGCTCTGGCCGCTGCGGGGAGCCCTGGGCCCTTTAAATCCCTGTGAGCCCAGCTGCCGGAGCTCCAGCACAGATTTAAAGGGCCCAGACCTCTGGCGTGGATTTAAAGGGCCCAGGGCTCCCCACAGTGGCTGGAGCCCTGGGCCCATTAAATCACCGCCGTGGAAGCCGGTCCAGTCTGGCACAGCATACTGGCTCTTGCCAGTACGCCGGACCAGACCGGACCGGCTTACTTTCACCTCTGGAGCCCTGTAATTGTGCTCACCATGTGCTATGCTTTAGAAGCCACCTGTCGGCGCAGAAGCATGTGTGTAGTAGGCCTGACAAGACTGCGTATAGATAGTAACCATGGTTTCTGGGGAGCCAGCAGTGCCCTGTGGTTTCTCCATGTTGCTGGTTGTTGTGTAAAGAGCACAAGACACACCAGGCAGCGGGTTGAACAGACGCTGTTTATAACACAAGGCAGTGATGTGAGATGGATGGTGATCAGGGCTGGCTCCAGGCACCAGCCCACCAACCATGTGCTTGGGGCGGCGCCTGGAGGGGAGCAGCACGGCGGGGCCC